TCTATCCATGAGAAGAAATCTAAGGATGATAGAGAAATAGAAGGAATTGGTCCAAGAGGTACTTAGCCAGTGCAGGTGTCTGTATATATTGCTCGAAAGAGGACAAAATTTATTATAGATATGCATATTTGCAACTAAAACATCACCAATTGTAAATCTCTATAAGGTAAATGTCAGATTAAGGCAAGGCAAATACTGTTTAAACCTACTATCCTATGTCAATCTCATGTTCTATCTGAAATGAATTCTTTCATGAAGAACAAAATCAGAAACATTGGTAATTGATTTTCCTTAAGAATGTAACACGATATGCCTCTTTGCAGAATCAGTTTCCTTTCCATTACCTTAATTTCCATGTTGTTCTTTCCTGTTCTTTTCACACACTCTTTTAGTTCATAATACCTACAACAAAATTACAACATCTGGTGCTCAATGATTCTAGCTCTTGATCAGAGTCAATATATTCTAGGCCTGAAGAGAGGAAGTAACTGAGATGACTATACAAAATTCTCTCTATATCCCCTTTTTTCACTGCCCCTATCAACACAGATATTCAGCTGACAGTAAACCAGTTCTAAAATTCTGCTAGGCAATAGACCAGCCATGGAAAGTGCTCTCATAAGAAATATTCCTCCTTTCATTTATCGTAATCAATGCTTTACTAATAAAGAAAAGGGCTTTTAAAAATGTACTGTACTGATAATTTGTGATCTTAACATTTACTAAATATTACTTAATAACGAAAACAATGAATAAAAATCTTAAAAGCATATAATTGCTCAAGGTAACTCAGCAGATTGGTAAAAAAGGCAAGGACCAAAACCTTTGTCTTTTGAGTATAAATTCAACCCTCTTTTCATGAATTTAAATGACACTTTGTGAACACAATCACATATGTAGTTTGAACAAATCCCTTGACTTTAGTTCAGTTTTAAAATAAATTATATTGTGTTATATCATAAATAGATGTCTAGTTCTGTCATTTTAAAGGTCTATTGGATCTTGTTTGTTTTATTTCTTTTTTTCTGTATTTTATTATATGCTCCTATTAGGAACTCCTCATTCATACAGACACTTTCAGTGTTGAAAGTATTGAAATAGATGAAGATTCTCCCCTTGAAGACCTTAACTTCTAAGAAAAGTTTACAGTCTTAACTTGATTCTGCTGCCTATGTTAGGAAATACACAAGTTTCATACAGCTGTGACCTTTCCACTGCTTAAAATAGATGGAATTGCTCTTTTCACCACAAATTTCAACAAAGCTGTATGTCCCCACACTCAACCTTGAAACACCCTCTCCTTACTATGGGTCCCCAGACATTTCTGAGACTGAGATAAAAAAGCAAAATAGTGTAGAAGGAAAATGAGGAAGACATTCATAAAAAAAACAAAAAGGAACCAAATCAATTGGAGCTCACTGATTCTGCACAGCCCATATGCACATAAATCATAACTCCCATTTATTATATGGTGGATAATTTGGTCTGTAGTACATTTCCTGTGGTCATCTCTATCACCAAATGTTTTGCTATTACTACCTCACTGAGTAAATACTATTTGCTGGGCTTTATTTACAAAACAAGTATAGTATTTTCTGCTCAACATTTGTGATCAATTAATTTCTATCATTTTCCTGCAAATGCCTGGCATGTTCCTTATACTGGCAATGCTTAGCATAATAATCCATGTCCTTTTAAACTCATCTTGAAATAGATATGCTAAATAAAACACCAAAAAAGAAACGACACCTAATTAGACACAGAAATGTGTTCAAAATCATTGGTTCATAATATATTGATACTGCTGTGTGTTTTAACATGAAAACTTCGGAAAGAAAAGGTTGAAATTTAAAATAACAATTTAGAGAGGAGAAAAAGGAGTGAAATTGTGTTTCTCCACCCCCGACACTGGCTGCTGCAATCATGAGTAAGGGACTGAAGGTTTTGTTTTGAAAAATCCATTGCTTTTTACTAATCACAAGTCTGAAAATGTGCCTTATTTTAAACTATATTCTAAAATAATATATTTGCCTGCCATAAAATGTCTGACTTATTTATATTTTAGTTAAACTTAGCCGTGAACTTCCAAAATAGTTGTGAACAATGTAATGGGTCATATGTAAATTGGAAAATTATATCTTTCAAGTAAGCAAAACATTTTATCATTTTATATTGCTAGAGTTTAAAACTGTACAATCGGCCTTAAAAGCTAACGACTCTCTGGCAATCACTCAAGGGTCTGTTGATTGCACTTTTTTATATTCTTGTAAGGCTTTAGATATCATTGGTCCGTCTAGGAAATGGGAGTACCTCTGACATAACAGCTTATGCAACATGACAATTGCACTTTATCCATAGATATTGCCCAGTGTGATTTCTGGAGGACTAGCCAAAATTCTTTATATAGTTCTCCATTTTTAATGGTAACTATAAAAAAGTATTCTGAACAGAAGTGAAATTGGCTTTGAATAAAATAGTAAAAATTTTTATTGTTCCATAAATCTAATTATAGTTTTGCTCATTACATCTCATAAAGTATCTTCAAATGCATTATGCCACTTAATGCTTACAAAATCTCTTTGAGGGAGACAGGATAGTATTTTACCATCATTATTCATAAGGAAATTGAGTCTTAGAGTTTCAGTATCTTGCCTATCTGTGTTCAGTGTGACCTTGAGACTCAAACTCAGTATTTTTACTCAGCTTAGCATTAAAAAATGAAGTTAATCTTTGGTATCTTGTGCTCTGGGAATTATAATATTTGCAATAAATTCCCAAGCTTTAAAGTACAGCATTTTTATGTAAAATAAAGCCTTTTTAAGGTCTATTTTAAAACTCACCTGAATCTATTTACCTAAAAAGGTCTAGTTCCAAGCATTGGCTGTGTCCTACATACACCCGAAATTGTGCTAGGCATATTGATTCATGCTAGTTCTCAAATGTTAAACAAGCTACATCAGTTACCACTTGAGGAACTGAAATAAAACAGCAATTCCAGACTTTCTTCCGAATGAAGCAATTACAATTTTTGGTTAGAGCAGTTGGATATGTGTAATAACTAATTCCTAATTATCTAATCAAGAGCTAAGGTTGTAAAACTAAAATAAATTTTAAAATAAGATATAAAAGAAAAAAAAAAAGACCAGGTTGCAAACACTGTAGAAGGAAAAGATAGATTTTAGATTTAGATTTGAATTGCAAGATCATGGTTAAATGCGTGATTTAGGAAACAATGGAAGGAAGTCATGATTAAATAACTTCTATGGCACAGTTTCTTTATTTACAGTGTTTCTTTATCTATAATACATGTAATAAGTCATGTAACAGGCAAGTTTCTCTCAAAAAGGCTAATTAAATCTTGGTAGTGTAGAGTAAATGAGATAATAGATCTTAAGTGCTTAGACCACAGAAGGCATTTGTGTTGGTTTGCTAGGGCTGCCATAACTAAATATGACTCACTAGGTATCTTGAACAACAGAAATTTATTTTTCTCAGAGTTCTGGAAACTGGAAGTTCAAGGTCAAGGTGTCAGCAGGGTTTTTTCTGGAGCTTCTTTCCTTGGTTTGCAGATGGCCAGTCTCTTTCTGCCTCTTCATACATTGTCCGCTGTGGTGCAGTTGTACCTCTGGAGTCTTTTGTGTGTTCAAATTTCTTCTTCTTATAAGGACACCAGTCGGATTGGATTAGGGCCCACCCTAAGGGCCTCATTTTAACTCAATCACTTCTTTAAATGTCCGATCTCCAAATGTAGTCCCAAGGTACTAAGGGTTAGAGATTCAACATATAAATTTGGGGGAAACACAGCTCAGCCCATAACATCATTCAGTAAATTTTAGTTGCTTGGTGTTTTGCTCTATTCTCTTTCTCCTTGACCTAACTTACTGGTGCTACACAACCCCTATACCCGCTCAGTTTCATTTGTTGCTGAGAGAGGTTATTTGCTTTAGTAAATCTGATAACCTAAAAGCTTGTTAATGAGGATTAAATTGTGTATTCGAGCTTCATAAACTTGAAGGTAGGAGAGCTTGGAGCCTTACTTTGAAGAAAGTGAGTAGGATGGGGATTTCTGGCATGTTGTCCAACTAACAATATAGATCCTTTCAAAGTTGAATGTTCAAATGATCCTCAAATCTAACACATGCACAACTGCTGTTTGAATTACACCTAAGTTTGGAACTAAAATCTGTATGATTTTATAACAGTCTGCTTTTTAATTTTTTTCTCTATTCTAGAAAATGTAATAATAAATACCATTTTAAACTGGCATTTTAAAATTATACCACTTTTTCCCTCTGGAGAGAATGTTCATGCTTTGTAATTTGTGTGTCCTTCTTTACTTTTCTAGCTTTCAAATTTTTCAAACATATGTGTCTCTGCTTCCTTTCCTCGCTCTTAACTTTAGTGATGAAAAATATTTTTTCTCACCGTTTTCTTAAATTCTCCTCAGTGAGAATTCCACCACAAAAACAAACAAACAAACAAAACCATTCAGAAAATATTAATACAATATTTCTTTTTGAGTCCGATATTCTTTAGGGTTGTATCTTTCCTATTAAATTATCATCAAGTTTCTGTAATTGGTTCTTCTCTCTCTCAGACCCTTCAACCATTATAAGCCATCTGTAAGACATTTCTAAACCACACTGTCTGGAAGAAATCCAAAAAAGATAGACCTGTCAATTTGACAATCATTATTTAGAAATACCTATGGAAAGCATTGTTTATTATTCTTTATTTTTCTCTTTGAAAAATGAGCTACACTAATCCCTACTGATTATTTCTAAGTCATATTCTCATTCCATTCAGAAAACTTTTCACTTAAAATTTTATAAAGGAAAATTGTATTTTTACCTTCAAGTTTATCATCAAGAATTAACACAAATTCTTATAGCCAACATAGGCCTTTTCCATAACTTTTGTTAACTAGTAAGTATGAAAGGTAGAATTTTTAACAGATTTTCAATTGCTCTTGTTTTGATTTGATATGTTGGTTTTTGCAGGGATGAAGAACCAGGAGGCCAGTTGGTTAATGATAAATTCCATATTGACTGGGATTCCGTACTTGTCGACACAGATAATGTCATTGTAGCAAGATTCGATGGCAGAGGAAGTGGCTTCCAGGGTCTGAAAATTTTGCAGGAGATTCATCGAAAGTTAGGTTCAGTAGAATTAAAGGACCAAATAGCAGCTGTGAAGTAAGTGGGTGCACATTTTTCTACTTTTTTTCTATAATGACAGGATCTAGGTATATGACATGTAATACTACTAACCCTGATTTAGCTGTTTCTATTTTAGTGATTGGGCAATTTTCTAAGTTAATTATAGAGCATATTGCATTTTTTTTAAGTACCTATCACCTTTAGTGCTATAATAAAAAAAAATTTCATATTTTCATTCTGGAATTAGAACTCACTTTTGATTCATGAAAATGAAAGAGACATTAATTATACCACTATATTATTTGTTTACAATAATCCACGATGTCTATTATTTCCCCAGTTAATTATAATTCTTGAAATTTCACAGATAACATTACCACACTGGCATGAAAGTGTGACTTAAGAAAGCTAGTGGGTTCCTCACAGCAGTACATAGAAATTAGCTAGCGTATTGTTAAAATGTAGATGCTGATTCAGTAGGCTTGAAAAGGGGGCCAAAATTCTGCGTTTATAACAAGCTCCCAGGTGATGCCAAACTACTGGACCATCACGTTGTGTAGTGAGATTTTGGAATATATGGCCCTTCCACATGAATAGAGCCACACACTGTCAATAAAGAATCACTAGTCACTGACTTTTGCGTATTTGTGTGTATGTGTAAGTATAAATTACATATACATTTGACTCAAGAAGATATAACTACATTTTTTTTCTTTTTCATTGCAGGTTTTTACTAAAACAACCATACATTGACTCCAAAAGATTAAGCATTTTTGGAAAGGTAAATAGTAGAAATGCTGAATCTATCTATGTGTCCATCCATCCATCTACACAGATGTATATGTATTGTGTGTGTGTGTGTTTGTATATATACATAAATAATTATATTTTTCATTATACCTTGGCTTCTTTTTATTATCCTTTAAAATGTAGCAGCATAAGTAATATTATATGTATCAGTCACTTATTAATTCAGCAACTATTTATTGAACATCTAGTTGGGGCATTGTGTTAGAAATAGGGCAAGAACAAAACAAAAAAGGGTTTTGTTTTCGTGGCGTTTACCTTTTTGAGAGGGGAAACAGATAGTAAACAAATAAATGAAAAACATAGTTTTATATGGCAATAAGTCTTATAAGGAGAACAAAAATGTGATAGATTGAAGGTAACTGCAGGAAGAGCGAATGTTCTGAGATTGAGTGGCTGAGTAAAGCCGGTCTGATGAGGTGATATTTAAGCTGATACCTAAATAACAAAAGGAAGTCAGTCAAACAAATCTTTTGAGGCAAAGTATTTTCCACAAAAGGAACAGCAAGTACCACAGCCTTCAGGAAGACTGACATAGGTTTAGAAACCGAAAAATGACCAATAGGCATGATTATTATTTCTTCTGTGCTCTCTGCAAGATATTTACTCTTCGTTGCAGTAACTGAGATAGCACGTTCAACATCATTTTCACAGCAGGAAAATCGATCCCATGTAGATATTCACTGAGTACCTAGTTTATACACATCACTGGACAGCTCATTATAAGGACAATATAATGAAAGAAAGAAGGAGACCTTGAACTATTTTAGTTTAGAAACAAAGTATATTCTTAGTGTCCATGGATTTACACATATAATATTTTCCATTATTCATAAGTGAACCCAGAGATCTATGACATGAAATAACTGGTAATTTTGACTGGGACATACATTTTAGTGGTACACACTGACAGGGAGGTGCATAAAAAATCACTTAATATATGAGTAAAATATAATTAAGTGCAAATCACCACCATTCACTTATCACTTCAAACATCTCCAATACATCATACCTTCGTTACATTCTGTTCTTGTTGTCAGTTATGTTCAGCAGATCAATAAAAATATTTTGTGACTCGTGCTTCTCCAACATAACTTCAAATAAAGGTTAGTGCAAAAGATGAAAATGTCTAAGTAAGTGATCATCCCAAGAAATGGAAACTTCAGAAATGGAAACTTTAGATACATCGAAAAGTGTGGGGTTAAATCCTATCACGTGTTGTAGCATTGAGGAACCTTGAGAACATTGTTCTATGTGAAGTGAGCCAGTCACAGAGGAACAAATACTGTGTGATTCATTTATAGAAGATATCTAGAGTGCTCAAGTTCATGGAGACAGAGAGTAGAATGGTGGTTGCCAGGGGTTGGGAATAGAGGGAAAAGAGGGAGTTGTTGTTTCATGGATATACAGTTTCATGTTTGCAAAATTAAAAGTTCTGGAGATCTGTTTCACGACAGAGTGAATATACTTGATGCTACTGAACTGGGAACTTAAAAGTGGTTAAATGGTAAATTGCATATTATATGTCATCACCACACAAAAAATGTGCATATGGTGAACAGTTTATTCCCTAATGGTTCTCATATAAGAATTTCCGAAGGACTCAGGGCTTTCAGGGCTCTACTTACTGTACTCATAAATAAGCATAAAAGACCAAATGAGCTATACAAACATTCGTGAAAATTTAGAGAAGACTCAAAAGGTTATAAAACACCTCATGGAGAAAGTGGAACATGAACTGGATTATCAGAATCATTCAATAGGTAGAGGGGAAGGAAAAGAGTATTACACAAACACACAGTGTCAGGAAGGAGAGTGTGTTTGGAGAATACAAAACAAAGTAATTGACTATAATTAAGACTCACATAGGGGAATAATAGAAAATAAGAATGAGAGGAAGACTGGGCTCACACATTTGAGGATCGTTTATAGCAACTAAGAAATTTGGAGTTTAGGCTATAAACCATGGGGGGATAAAACTCTAGGCCTCAGATTTAGAAGTTCAGAATCTCACATTGTATCCCCCAGTCGTGATACTGGGACTTGATGAGCCTCAGGGTAAATAATCTGGCAATCTAACAAACAAGAGGTGACATAGGATATAAACAAATGAAAATATAAATGGAAAGAAAATTCATTTAAATTAAACAAATATGCATATCTGTCGCTGAATTATAAACTAAAAGTTGACTTTCTGAGCTTATAAAAGAACACTTTCACACTTAAGATGTAGACCTTGTAATTTTTTTCTTGGACTGTACTAATTATTTTGTATCAGCATCAAATTAGGTCATGCTAAACTCATAAAATGGGTTAGGGAGTAGCATCGTTGCTTTTTATATTGCCTGAAAAAAACTTATTAAAAATCAGAACTACACTGTGAAGGGATCTGGGCCTATTGCTTTCAGGATTAGAAAAAATTCAATAATGTTTATGTTTAACCAATAAAGGACTATCAAGACATTTTCATTTCTTTTAAAGTCATTGTTAGTACTTTGTAATTTTTTTTTCCATTTTGTATACCTTTTCAAGAATATTTGCAAAGATCAATGCATGATATCCTCTTATTATATGTTTAATCGTTTCACTGTGACAGTAACGTCCCACTTCGATTTCCGTTGTGGCTTATTAGTGCCTTTCTGCTTCTCCAAGGGCACCCTCTCCCTCTTGCTTCCATGCACCCTCTTTCTTTATTGCTCTTACTCTTGCTCTCCCTTCTTTTCTCCCCTCCACCTCTCCATCCCTCCATCTTTTTATGGCTTGGTTGTTCCTTTCTATTTGTCTTTGTTTTCTACTTCAATAATTGTTATCCTTGCCGTTATTAATATTATTTTTTTCTTCTTCTTTTAAAATTCACTTTTTTCTTCAACTATTAAGTTGAATGTCTAACTTGTTAATTTTTGCATCCTTCCTTACAAATATAGGCATTTGAATTATAAATTCTGATTGAGATTCTCCCGCAGGTATTCCCCACTGGTACTGATATGTAGTATTTTTATTATCATTTAGTTTAAATACTTCTTCATTTTTAGGATAAGTCTATGCCTCTGAACCAGTTTTATTATTTTTATTCCAAATTAAATAAAAGATTTTTAGGTACTTGTCTGTTATTTACTTTAATTATAAGTGAATTGTGTTCAGAGAATTGGCCTGTATGACAGGAATCTTTTGAAACGTATGTTGACTTATGACTTAGAAAGGGGATAACTTTTTAAATTTTCACCTGTGCCTAGAAGTTTTGGTGCTACATACTTGTTCATTTTACTCAAACTTGTCCATATGATGTTCACATCATAAACTTAGTTAATGATTTATTTTGGCTCTATTTTCCGAGAAAGGCATGTTAAAATATCCCATTATAATCGTAAGCTAGTCAATTTCTCCTTATTAGGCTAATTTTTACCAAGTCAATTTTAAGGCTATTATTATTTAGTCCCTATAAATACAGAGATTTTTGTATTAAAGATGATTTTATATTAACATTCTTTTGATGAATACATGCTTATTATAAGCCTTTTTATCTTATTATCTTATTATTTTCAAATTTTGTCCTCATGCTTTAGGTGTACCCTTTAAACAAAAAAGAGAGATATTATTATTTTTGTTTGTTTTTCCACTAATTCTTTATGTGATTTATTTTATTTTATTTTATTTTATTTTATTTTATTTTATTTTATTTTATTTGAGACAGGGTCTCACTGTGTCTCCCAAGGTGAAGTGTACTGACACAGTCATAGCTCACTGCAGCCTTGAACTCCTGGGCTTAAGTGATCCTCCTGCCTCAGCCTCCTGAGTAGCTGATATTACAGGCATGCACTGTGATGCCTGGATAATTTTTGAAAATTTTTTGTAGAGGTGGGGTCTTGTTATGTTGTCTAAGTTGGTCTTAAACTTCTGGACTCAAGCTATCCTCCTGACTTGGCCACCTAAAGTGCTGGAATTTTAGGCATGAGCCACTGTGCCTGGCCCAATTTCTATATTTTAATTGAAGATTATATCATTTATGTTTATTATGATCACCAATACATTTAAATGTTATTGTTTTCATTATATGTGCTTACCATCTGTCTTATTTTTTTTTTTTTTGCCTTTTTTCTTCCAGTCATTTGGATTGAGTTGTTTTTCGTTTTATTTCTGCTTCTAAATATATTTTTTTATATACTTTTTTTTTCTTTATTTCAGCATATTATGGGGATACAGACGTTCAGGTTACGTATGTTGCCCTTGCCCCCCCTCCCCCCTAAGTATGAGTTTCAAATATGTCCCCGAAGAACGGACATAAATATATTTTTTTAGTGTGTTCATGTATATTGCTGAGTGTTTCACAGTATGAATCAAGTAAAATAAGTTGTTCATTTATCTGTTGAAAATTTGTGTTGTTTCTAGTTTTGTGTATTATGAATAAAGTTGGTATAAACATTTGTGTACATATTTTTATGTAGACATGTACTTTCATATTTCTTTGGAAAATATTTAAGAGTAGAATTGTAGGCTTAAATGGTAACTCTCTATTTAGTTTTACAAGGAATTGCCAAACTCTTTTTCAAAGTACTTACACCATTTTATTTTACGAAAACCAATATGGGAGAGTTCCAGGTGGTCTACATTATCACTAACACTCAGTATTATCAGTCTTTTTAATTTAAATGATTCTAATGGGTGAATAGAGGTATTGATTTCATTTTCATTTGCAGTTTAGTAATGACTAATAATACTGAGCATCTTTTCAGGTGTTTATTGCCATTTGTATATTTTGTTTAACACACCTGTTTTTTTACCATTGAGATTATGTAACAGACATTTTCTTATTAAGGTTTACTAAATTATAGGAAGCCTATTATAACCACAAACCTATCCCTGTATCCCCCTTTTTTATTCTTTGTTTAAAATTGAGATATAATTGACACACCATAAAATTCATCCTTATATCTTGAAATTAGATTGTAGAAATTCTTCCATTATGTTCTTTTTCAA